TTTATATTCCTTCCTTTTACTTTTAACAATCTTGATTTTTAGTCCCTTCAAATAATGTCCTAGAGCTTGATTCTTTTCATTTCTTCTTTATCCCTTCTCTATCCCTTCTCACAAAATTCTTCAAAGCTTCAACAAGTCTTTTTTGTAAATCCAATATAGGAAATTTATCCAGTTCACTTTTTTGGTCTGTTACTAGTATATCCCTTTTAATTATTAAGACATCAACCAGTTTCATTTGTATGTCCACTGCTATTTAACATCTTGACATTGTGTTTGTATATGTACTGTGGTGCATGATGGATTAGATAGAGCTGAAACATATCAACCTGGAAAATGCTTTATGGTATTACTTAGGCCATTTGAAAGAGAGAGCGGGGAAGAAGGGAGGGAGGGAGGGATTCAAGCATTCTCTGTCAACAGGGAAGGTACATTTTCCTCTGCTCAAGATTAATTTTATATCTCTTTTATTGTTTTCTATTTGAATGACATCACATCATGATGCAAAAAACATGGAAGCAAACTGGAAGAATTAAGGAGAACCAGGAACAACAACAACAACTGGCTACTTTCCTTTACCTTTTCACTATCTGGACCTCATGGAGATGAATCTCCCCACATTGACCACACAGAGCTATTTATTAACTTTGGTTTTTTTATCCACATAGTATTCCTTATATCACACTTAGCTCTCTTGTCAGGGAACTCAAAAACATTATTTATACATATTTATATAACATTTAACATTTATATAACAAAAACTTATACAATTACTTTTACAAGACTCACATGTCACTGCTGTGGAATGTGAACACTAGTTTATAGATCTGTGAAAAGAACAATAACCATAAAAATATGGTTTTAATATTTCTGAAGTAAACAGATCTTCCTATGCAGAAATTACAAGAAATTCTGGGTGTTATACACTACGGTGATAAAAATAGAAAAGCCATTACCTGAAAGAGGTACAAATGTATTTCCTTTGTGGAATAAATATTATGTCAATTTTAGACTGAAGGAAAAACGATGTGAAGAACAATTGAAGAATTCCATTGACGGTTAGATTATTTATTGATCCAATTTGCCTTGCTTGCTTTGTTTTTACATTTTAAAAGTTATTTCGCTATTAAGGGTAGGGATAAGAATTCCAGAGGTATAAATGAAATATAGAATATAAAATTACCAACGTTTTTAAACTGCCAGTTTAAACTGCCGGATGACTTGAGTGATGCTGTGACCACCCTTTTGCAGCTCCTGGAGGTTGTGGGGTCTGGATGGGGTGCAACAGGCTTCAGCTGAACCCTGGTAAGAAGGAGTGGCGCTGGATTGGAAGCCTCTCTGTATCTGAGAATTTACCATCCTTGGTTTTGGACGGGGTGGCACTGACCAGACAAACCCGGTGCGTAATCTGGGGGTCCTCCTGGACTCACTCCTGCTTGAGGAGCAGGTGGCAGTTATGGTCAGGAGGGCCTTTACCCACCTTCGTTTGGTGTGCCAGTTACATCCTTTCCTGGATCAGGAGGCTCTCCGGTCAGCCACTCATGCCCCGGTCATCTCTTGGGTAGATTCTGTAATGCGCTCTATGTGGGCCTACCCTTGAAGAGTATCTGGTAGCTGCTGCTGGTTCCAAATGAGGCCATGCTACAATCTTGGGTGCCCCAAGGATGGCACATATAACACCTTTACTGCGGAAGCTACATTGGATGCCGGTTTGCTTCCAGGTCCAATTCAAGGTGTTGGTTATCACCTTTAAACTCCTACATGGCATAGGTCCAGGCTCCTGAGGGACCATCTCACCCCCATTCCATCAACCCGTCCCACCTGGTCAGGCAGAGGGGCATGTTGCAGACCCTGTCAGCGAGAGAATGTTGGCTGGCGGGGCCCAGGAGGAGACCCTTCTCTGTTGTTGCCCCCACCCTTTGGAATATTCTCCCCCCAGAGGTGTGGCGGGCCCCTACCCTCCCGACTTTCCAGAAAGGGCTAAAGACCTGGCTCTGCCAGCTCGCGTGGGGTGATGGGAGCTCTGGTCGATCCTGAGGGTGGCTGGCACCCTGATGACACTCTCTGAGCTACTCACCAATTCCACCAATTCTTGGAATCTATCTATTATTTAAGACTTCTTTTATATCATATTTTAATTGATTTTATCCTTTCTGTAAACCGCCCACAGTTGCTTTTTAACGAGATGGGCTGTGACAAATTTTATATAAAAATAAATAAATAAAAATAAATAATGTTAGTTAATGGATGCATATCTCAAGGGTGATTCTGCTGTTTTTTCAACACTAATATCAAAGCAAAAAAGCTAGTAGACAATCACTGATTTCCAATTTTTTATTTACACACTAATATGTTTACATCATTTGCAGAAAATTTACAGAAGCATGACAGGCAACCAAGCAAGATTTTTTATAATTATATTTTTATCAAGCAGTTTTAGGAAAAGGAATAAAGACACTCAAAAAAGGGGAAAAGAGGCAAAAAACAGAGAGAGAGAGAGAGAGAAATAAAGCACGAAGTAGATAAACAGGGAATTTACAAGCTTTATAGAATTAGTTAAAATTTCAATATTTCATTGATTAGCTTTAAGTTATTGAATGTACAGTGTGGTTTCAAAAACTACAAATCATTGTTAAAATCCATGTAATACATGAATATCAACAGCAATAGTCAGCACAGTGTAAATCTTAAAATGAGATTAAGTATTACAGTAATTTCTGTCTGAGCAATTAAAGACTTTATGTTAAGAACACAAATTTCAGAAGTGGTGCAAACTTGCATATAACGATATAATCCCGAACTGGTTTCCAAGTAGAATTCCATTCTATGTCAGATTACTTTTGAAATACAAAATTATTTTGAGCAGTAAGGCAACTGGTTTGTTTTTATTCTATGATTCCATCTGTATTGTTTGAATAAGGCTGTCTATTGAAATCTAAGTCAACATTTTAAATTTGGTCATGATGGAAAAGGCTGCACAATAGTCTTTCTTATATTGGATTTAATTACAAGCCAGTGAAGATCCGTTGATGTTCAGTTTGAAACACATCTGGCAATCAGCTGAAACATCTGTAAACTGGTAAATTACCTGATAATTATATTACACTATTTCCACTAAATTGTTCATTACTGACAATTTAGCTTCTGTACAGAGCTGTGTAACAAATTTAGAAGTCTTTTAAATTCTGCAATGTGAACACAACTTAATTGCAATTTATGTTGGTGTTTTAAACAATATATCCTGGAATGAAATTGAATTGCCATGTCAACTCAAAAAATGGGCACATATTTATAAAAATCATCAACGTATATTTAACAGGCACTGTGACAAAATGAATGAGGGGTCAAGAAGGAGTGGAAAACTATGTTCTCTGAATGACCCATGTGCCTATCATCAGAGTGGGATTAAATGGGGGCTATTAAGTGCTTGCTCAAGGGTCTCCAATGAAGTGCCCCCTGCCCCCCCAAGCAGGGTTATGGGCATATAATATATTTTATAACATTGTGGAATGTCGCATATTTAAATGTTTAACAAGGTGTGGGGCAATAAAGGTGGGTGTGGAGAGCCCACATATTTTCCTTTCTAAAGCCTGAGTGAGGCCTTTCCCTATTTCATTCTGAGGTGCTTGGGAATAAGGCAGTATTGCCTGAGAGTTCTTAGAGGCTGGATCCTCTCCATCTACTGCACAGTAATGAATAATAAAGGAACTTGTTATGAAGCTGTAGAGGCCTGCAGTGTGTTGGCTGGAAAACCTGTAAGTAGAGCAGGCAAATTCTCCCTGGTATTTCTCATGCCTAAGAGACATTACATTGTGTCAAAAGTCAGAACACTTTTTCTCTCAAGCCTACCTGAAAAAGTCAGTTTCCAGTACTTTAGTCATGGGTTGCAATAAAAGAGGGAGCCTATTAAACCACCTTCTTAATTAAATTTGGCAAGAAACACTGGAGAAAATGAAATTGCAATTATAAGTGCAATTCATAAAAAGCTGAGGAAGTCAAGGGATGATAAAACTGCTGGGATGATCTACTGCATAAGAGAAAAGGCTTTAGAAATAAACTACAGTCTCCCCAGCGTCTATGCAGATCCAGCAAGCAAGACACTAGCAGAAGCTCCTGCTGGATATAACACGCATTGTGAGCCCAGGAGAAGCCCTGTTTTTGAACAATTCCTGCTCTGGCAACTTTCTCAGGATGAAATGGCAAGCTTTTTCGTCACAGTTCTCAGAGAAAAATCTGAACGTTATATATTTGGAGCCTTTACAGATCTAATGCTGAAAGAAAGCATACAGTAGTTTAAGCATCTTGATTGCCTTCTCCTTTTCCTTCTTAATGGTTGACTTATGTCTATAGTTTCATTGTATATTATTCTTTATTCTGTTAATTACTTTGCTAATAAGAGACATTGTAGGATGACCGCCATGTTAGTCTACAATAGCCAAAAATTAGGAGTCGTGCTTATGCCTTTTAATAAAATTTGTTAATCTGAAAAGGTGCTATCAGACTCCTTAGTGCTGTTAAAAATAAGACATTATTGATGAAAAGTATTTTAGCCCACTTTGTTTTTATTTAATTAATACCACTAAAGAGATAAGATTGTTTTCTTAATTATTGTGATATGTGAAATTTTGGGGCGTATCTGTGTTTTGTATACTATCCATGGTATTTGATGTTGCATTTAACTTTGCCAAGACAGTAAATGCGAGGGAACAAATCTGTGGCTTTTTACAACAGAGTATACAAATCCAAGAAAACCAACACTTTTTCACCCAGAAGTAATGACATGTACATGTACAGTATGATTTTGTTTGGTATCCTTTTTACCATGTTTTTAAAGCAACTGCTGGATTATTAAAAATGGTTAAGATTCTTGCTTTGCCTGTGTAAGACAATATAGGTCCTTTCAGGATTACAGGATCAGGGCCTAAAATTCTAAATTCAAGCATGTTATATTTCTGGGCATATATTCAGGTCGGCCCTGAACAATTACCATGGCAAGAAAACAAGAAAAGAGTACACAAACACATACACACGTGCACACATACACTGGTACTCTTTTTGCATTGAATTCTCACAGTCCAGTCTGAAGTCAGAGAATGCATTCATCTGCAGAATACTTTGCTGGTGCCTTTGAACAAATGTACTTCTTCGCTATGGAAACAAACAGGAAGCACAATAAACACATATTTTACATAAACAGTAAACACATAAACTATATTTCCTTCAAAGAGTTTAGGAGAGCATATAAGGATTTTTAAAACTATCATAACTTAATGAAGGCAGTATAGCCTAATGATATTGTGAGAGTTCACCATTACCCCTACTGAAATTAACTGGCTGAACAGGGCTTTGAACCACAGTTTTCTACCTAGAAACACTCGAGCCCTGCCTTCAACCTGTCCGATACCCTCCAAATGCACTGGGATTAGCAGGTCAGATGAAAATTCAGGGAACTGTGCAATCATGGTGATCATAAAAATGGTCGTAAAATCAGACCCGGTCTTGAGGTGACTCGCTTAATGACCACCCCGTTCAACGACCAATTTTCTGGTCCCTATTGTGGTTGTTAAGTGAAGACTACCTATATAGAACTGATTTGAAGGTTTTCTGAGGTGTGAGAGCACTTCCATACCAGAATTGTTTTCATTTCCTAATCCTTCCAAACCAATTTAAAGCCAATCATCTTCTCCTGAAGCACAGGTCCATCATGAACAGTGTTTCCTTCAGCTAACCAACAGGAGTAAAGATAAACTTATTTGATGAATTTCATGGTCACTGAGCACAATCCGGAATAATACCACATACAAAAGTAGAGTAAAAGTCATTTCCTCATGGCCACCTTCCTTGTGGCTATGATGAGAAACTATACTAGGGAAAGTCTTTTGTAAAAAAAAAAAAGGGGGGGGGGAATCTATGCCACCATCTGTCTCCTGGATGTAAAAGCCAATGGGGAAATGGATCATGGATAAGCTCCACTGAACCACAAAATGTCAAAGAAAATATTAGGTATGTTTCAAAGAAACTGCAGCAGATTCAGCTTTCAGCTCTCATAACTAATTCAGCTCTCAAAGGCAGCCAACTCTGGGTGATCAGATAAGTCCAGAGCTGGCTCTGAACTGGTACAAAGTTCTCATGAAGAAATGCTCCCAAGTGTATGTTGTTTAATACTTCATCTCATGCCATCCATCTGATATAATTTATTATAACTCCAAAAGAATGCAAAATCAGGAAGAACGTTTTTGTACCATATTTCCCCTCACCCCCCCACTACAGAGTGCTTCCCCCATATGCAAGAAATCTTGGGGGACACCTAATATCAAAACAAAACAATAGAACTGCCTTCCCCAGTGTGCTGCCTTCTAGATGGGTAAGAATTATGGGACTTTAACATATCTAGACTAGAGAAATATTTACTTTAAGTCCTTATTCACAGATTTCCTACACTGCATCTACTTTAGTCCTAATTTGAGTGAATCAAGTGGACAGTAAGGGAAGAAAGAAAGCATTCTCTGATGTTCTCTTGGGAGTAGTGAATCAATGCTACCCAGGGGTGGTATTCCAGCTAATTTGCTTGGATTCAACAGCAAAACCACAATCATGTTGGGAAGGAGAATGACATAGCTTCCGGGCAGTGCTAGAAGATATATCCCCAGTGTACCACCATGGCAATGCTTTATTGCTACAAAATAGAACAGAAATGAAGTGAATCAGGATTCAGATTCTTTACTGAACAGACTTTAGTTCTTGTAGAGCTGGATACAAAAAATTAGTTTCTATTCCCCTACATATCATCAAAGGCATTTCTCCATAATGGATATGATAAAGTCACATTTCTACTGGTTCTAGTGCAGGCTTCCCTAACAGAGCAGCCTCCACAAGTGTTTAACTACAGTCCTCATGATTCTGATCAGCATGCTCAATGCTCTATTAGCTAGGAAATATGGAAGTTGTAGTCCAATGCATCTGGAGGTCACTCAGCCGGGGAAGGCTATGGGACACAATAGATCGAAATTGCACAACATTTAACATGTGACTATAAAGCAACATAGTATTTTATTTCTTGGCTAGGAACTGAAAAACAGATTGGGAACACATTTCTCTGCTAGAAAAAGTGCTTCTTGTTCTAAATCCTTATAGCTCGATCTGCAAAGCTTTCTTTGAAAAATCCATGCTCAGATATGAAGTCATGAACTTTTGCCACTACAAAAGTAATCTCCTTCTGTCCACATGGATCAGTGTTTATTCGCACAGCTTCCCTCTAAAGGCTAAACCCTCCTGTCTAAGCTGAATCACAACTGTGTGATGCAGACAGTTGGGCCTGAATGTTAATTTTTTTCAATAAAATGTAGACAAAGTGGAACATCATCCCCCTAAGGTTAGCAAATAAACAAAAAACAATGCTGTTACACATAGATGTACATGGCTATTGTATCATGGACCCCAATAGGATTAAGGAGGGTGACGAGGGCCTTGATTCTCTTTTGTAAGACTCATTTGCTGTAGATTAACTTTAATAAAATCAAGATCATGGTCTTTGCAAGAAGGCCAAAAAGGTAACCTGGACTATGGAGATAGGATCAAGCAGCTTTAAATAGCTAAGGATTGATTTCCAAGTCACGGGGAAGTGTAAAGCCCTGCTTCCAAATGCTTTATGGAACATACTGGCAATTTTTTTTGCTTTTTTTTTTTTTAATAACTAGAGGAATCAAATATGTCCCTACTGTGATTACACTATTAGAGACCAAGGTGCTCGTACATCTTTTCTATGGGATTCAATTAAGCTCAAGTAATAAACTTGCCATGTTGTTCCATCTATGCTTTGAAAAAGCTGTTCCAGGCAACATGCTGTATCCCAAATACTTCATTATCAAGACAGATTGATTAAAACTGAGACAAGGGCATGGATCACCATCTTTAATTACTGGTTAAAGCTAACATTTTTCCTGCAGGGTTTGACCCACTAGTTTTGTTGTTGCAATCTGGATATTTTCCCACGTTACTATTAAATGTGGGCTCATGCCAGCTAGGTACATTGATCACCAATACTGTACACCTTTATGTTACTAAGCTTTGACTCCTTAGTCTCAAGCAGTATTTGAGGGTTGATTCCGAAAGATTCTTTATAGTATTGTAATCTGTCCTAATAGAGAACTGCTGCCTCACACCATATTGTACTGTGATTTTTAATACAAATTTCCATAATAGGTTGTTATGCTGCTTATTAAACCTTTTCTTGGGTGATCAGACAAATCCTATCTCTATTATCTGTTATCTAATTAAAATTCAAAAATATTTATTGTACACAATTTTTACATATATCTTGTAAATTGCAGAATTTGTCTGCAGTTAAGAGTTGGTTTATTACTTCTTGATCATCTTAGCTGTAACTCTTAATAGTTGACTATAGCAGGGCACTATAAATTGTGAATATCATTTGGCTTGATATTCATAATTCCATTTTTTTGTGTTTATGGATTTTTCTCTCTTTTTGACTGTACAAACTGTTGTATTTTATTTATTATTTGTTATATTTTGTCTTCATATTGGTCAATGACTATAATAAAGAACTGGACTGAAATAACTTAGCTTTCTCTCCTTAATGACTATTTCTGCTAGTCTATACTATTTAGGTAGTAAAACAATGCTAAATTATTTAACCTATACCTCATTATTCACTTTCCTTCCCCTGATTCCACTTTCAAAAGTGGATAAGAAGTACACAAGAAAGACTTTCATGAAAAGGTTTTATTGAGTTATTCCACAATGAATATCAGTTCTTACATTTTTGCTAACTTTTTCATTATTGTATCATAGCAGGATGAAAAAAAAAGAGAGATAAATACATGGGGATACAGAAACCGAGGAAGCTCTTTTCAAGCAATCAAATCGTCCAGAGTTGGTGGGAGTCAGGGGGCATATAAATTTATAATAATAATAATGATG